GCGCGCGTGGGCGATGGGGGGCGGCGATGAGGGCACGGCGGGGGGCATTCTCTCCCGCTGAGATCACGCTGGCAAGCTGCGCGGCGCCTCTCGCGTAACGCGCGCCGAGAGGACTTGTGCGCGAACGACTTTATCGCTCCGAATTCCGCGAGCCGCCGCGCAGACCCGAAACGGCGCGCCACGTAGGAGAGGCCGAGGCACCGCAACGTCTTGCACGAACCTGCATCCAATTCCCCATGTCGGCTTCCTCCCATGCGTTCGAACGAGAAGTGAACGCGTGCCCGCATGCCTTTGTTATCAAATGAGCTTGGCGCCGAACGCCGCCGAGCGGCGCGTGGATCGCGCGGTCTAGATGTTGGCCAGCCTCTGCTTCTCCGCGCGCGTGTTCAGGTGATCTCGGCCTTGGGCCTCTTCAGCGGCGACTCCAGGGCAGGGGTCGCGGACGGGGCCTTGTCGTCGAAGGTCTCCTCCGCCATCTGGCTCTTCGCATTTGCGATATCAGTGATCAAATCTCCTCGATGAATTGGCTCCCCATGGCGGCCGAGACCAGCGCGTTCAGGCTCTCCTGCAGGCCCGACCCGCCCTCGGAATTATTGACCCACGTCCACTCGGGCAACGACCTGATGTTATCCAGGATGAGGTTCGCTCGGGTCGCGGTCTGTCCGTGCTCCAAAATAAACGTCTGCGCGCATTCCATGTTTGCAGTCTGCGTCTTCTTGAGCTGATTGGTCCTCTCCTGCTCCTGCTCGGCGCCGGTGGCATTCCCGTCGGCGTCGCCCGTCTGCACTGCGCGGTGCCCGCCTTAGCCTTAGCCTTTCCTTTTCGGCATGTTATTCGCCTCTGGTGTCGGCTGTGGTGGCGTCGCCTTCTCGCCGTGGCGCTTCTTCGTCGGGTCTCCCACGCTGCCCCCCCCCTTCCAGAACTGATGGGGCCGCTGGAGCCGCTCCGCCTCCCGCGATTGTCATTGGGAGTCGTTTGGGTCGTTGGGGCGGTCGGGGCTGCTGCGTTTCTTCTATCATCTCAGTGATCTCGGCGCATTGCTTCTCAAACTTTTATGCGCGCCCCGACTTCATGCGCAAGCGCACGAGTGCTCCATGCGTTTGCTCCGCCAATTGCACTTGCACCAATATCCGCCCAATGTTATGCAACTGGGGCAGATATTGAGCGCGGCCTCCGCTCAGGAGGACGCGGTCCCTGCCCCAGACCCCTCGCCTGCAATGGCCTCGAACGGCCCGCCGGTGCCGAAGTCAGCCCAGCACTCCGCCAGATTCTCCACCACGGCGCGCCTCTTCCTGTACTTTACCCACTCCTCGTCGAACCACCTCTTGCGGAAGTCTGCTTTCGCGATGTTCCCGTTGGTGGTCTCGTATTTATGTCTCCCCCCTGGGTTCGCGCCCAAGTAGGTCTGGGCGCGATTTCTCAATGCGCCCCTCGAAGGCGCGACGCCTGTTGCATGGGCTTCCTCCAGGAATGGGTCCTTCGTCTTGGCATCGCCCTCCGTCTGCTTGTTGAAGTATGCATTCTGGGCGGCCGCCAACTTCGCGCCACCTTGCGCCTGATTGTAGATCTCAATCAGATTGGAGACCAGCTGGGGCAAGCTCGCTGGTTCCTTGGAGCGCATGGGGTCATTCGGTGGCTGAGTCAAGTTGGCGACCTCGCCCCGCGACGACGCGCCCTGGGACCCCAGCCGTTGGAAGCCGATCTCCGCCAGCAGCGCAGCCTGCAAGCCGATCTCCGCCAGCTGCGCAGCCTGCAAGCCGATCTCAGACAACGGCAAAGCCTGCGACCCGATCTCACCGAGCGACGCCGCCTGCAAGCCGATGGAGCCGAGGTGCGGGGCGGGCGGATCAAGTGGTGGAGGTGCTCCACGCGGCGCCCCGTCCTCCAGTTAAGCGCGCGCGCGCCAAACCGACGCAGCGCACGAAACACAGCTTGACCATCATTGAAACCGATGGCCTCGAAATTTCAAGCTGGCCCAGTCGGGGCGCGCGCGTGCGCGCGTGCGCGTGCGTGCGTGCGTGCGTGTGTGTGTGCGTATGTTGTGGGTCTGTGCGTGTGTGTGTGTGTGTGTGTGTGTGTGTGTGTGTTTGTCATGGGGCCGCCCTCGGCGGCGTCGCGCCCGTTGTTGCCGACGTCCGCGCCGTGGTCGCCGTTGCCCTTGCCGATCTCGGTGTCGCCGCCCTTGCCTTGGGATCCGTCGTAGTCGTTGGAGCCGCGCTTGTCCTCGAACATGTCCTTGGCGCGGGCGTCGCCAGCTCCCGCGACGTCGGGGCTGCGACGCTGGTGCTTCGTCTGGGTGAAGGGCGCCTCGTCGCTGTCGTCGATGGCCATGTCGGTTGCGCCCCTCTTGGCGTTCGTGTCATTGGCGCCGACGCCCATGTCGCGGGAGTCGTCGCTGTCGTCGCCCTCAACCACGGATCTCTGAGTTTCCTCCTCCTGCTCCTCCTCCCCATCCCCCTCCCCCTCCGCGCCCCCGGCGCTGCCCCAGCAGTCCCCGGAGCGGCCCAAAAACTTTCTCTTTGTTTCGGTCCCCAGAGGTTCCCTGAAGCAGAAACTGCCCCCCCGGAAACCAACAATTACCTTGCGCACGCTCTGCGGGCTCGCGCGCGCCCTCACGAGCGGGACCCCAGCGAGCCACAGGGGCTGCATAAGGAAATCCGGCACTCACACAGGATGGAGGAAGCCAACATTTCGAGCCAGTGTTCGGCGGCACCAGGCGCGGGGGAGGGTGCTCCAGTCGGTTTTTCTCCGCCCCGCGCTGCCCAGGGGCCTCCTCGCAAGCGAGTGCGTTTCGCCGAGGACATTGAGCCTTCGGAATGCAATCTGGCCGCGTCCACTGCCCCCCCCGGCGATGGTGTTTGCCGCAGCGCTGATCAGTGACAGAAGCGGCACTGATGGCTTCTGTGCCTTCCTCGTCCTCCGAGCCGTCGGCTGGATCCGCTACTGGAGCTCCTGCGACGGATCCTGGCCCGCGTGGGGCCGGCGCGGATTTCCGCGCCGTCGCGCGGTCAGAGGCGACTTGCCTCTGCTCCTCCAGCTCGAGCCGCGCGGCCTCGTACTTCTGCATCTTCGGGGTCGGCGAGATCACACCCCGGAGCTCTCGCGCTGGAGACCCCTACGAGGGTTTCGGCTGGATTCCCACCGCCTGCGGTTGGTGGGTTCCCTGGAGCTCTTGCGCCCAGTCGGCCGCGGGCCAGGCCTGCGGGCCAAACGACGAGTGTGGCGCCACGTCCCAAGAGGGTGCGGGGGGGCAGCCTGGGCCGAATTCGGCAACCCCGCCTACTGTGCCTCTCCCCGAGTCTGGCCCCGTGCCGCCTGAGGCGTGCAGGTGGCATAGGCTCAGGGTCGCAGGCGAGTTCGTGGCGTGCACGGCGAGCGGATCCTATCGAGAGGCGCAGTTCGTGGATGCCTGCTGCTGCCTTGCGATCCAACCCAACTCCGTCGAGAGCCGAACAAGCGTGATTTTTTGAATCGTTTTTTACCGAGATGTTCGCCCCGACGACCCTAGTTGCATGATTCCTGTCCAGCGTTCCCTCGTCGTTGGCGATGAGTCTCTGGCACGGTTATTGCCCGCGTGATTGTTCGCGATCGTCTGTCATGTTTGTCGTCGCCTCCACTGAGGCGCGAAGAGGACGCCCTGGCCGCGATGCTCGTCTGGGTCATTGGGCCGCATCCTCGCTCGTTCCGCTCATTCGACGCGCGCAGCATTCGATCCGAGTTCGGTCCCGATCATCATCAGCAGCATCATCAGCATCATCAGCATCATCAACATCAGCATCATCATCGTCATCAGCATCATCATTTTCATCGTCACCACCATCATGAGCATCATCAACATCAGCATCATCTTCAGCAGCATCATCTTCATCACCACCATTATTAGCAGCATCATCATCATCATCACCAGAATCACCATTGTTATATTAATCATCCACATCATTGTCATCGTCATCTTCCTCAGGTTCCTACTCCTCATCCTTCTCTTCCTCCTCCTCCTCATCACCACCACCATCATCATCATCATCATCATCATCATCATCATCATCATCATCATCAGTATCATCATCATCATAATCATCATCATCATCAAAATCAGCATCATCATCATGATCATGATCATGATCATGATCATCATCAGCATCAGCATCAGCATCAGCATCATCATCATCATCGTCATCATCAGCATCATCATCAGCACCAGCACCAGCACCATCACCATCACCATCACCATCACCATCACCATCACCATCTTCATCATCATCATCATCATCATCATCATCATCATCAATATCATCGTCGTCGTCTTCGTCGGCGTTATCATCATAATCATCGTCATCACCACCAGCATCGTCATCATCAACACCAACATCGTCATCACCTTCATCAGCAGCAGCATCGTCATCAGCATCAGTATTAGCATCAGCATCATCATCAGAAACAGCATCATCATCGGCATCACAACCAGCATCGTCATCGTTATCCTCATCAGATTCCTGCTCCTCCTCCTCACCCTTCTCCTTCTAATCATCATGGGCATCATCAGCACCGCCAACATCATCATCGTCGTCTTCGTCGGCGTCATTCTCAGTGGCATCGTCATCACCACCAGCATCATCATCATCACCACCATGACCACCATCAGTATGATTGTCATAATCATCACCATCGACATCAGCATCATCATCATCAGCATCATCACCACCATCATCATCATCATCATCATCAGCTTCAGCATCTTCGTCAGTATCAGCATCATGGTCATCATCATCATCAGCAGCATCATCATCAATGCGTTCTATGTTCCTCCTCCTTCATCACTACTCCCCCCATTTCGAAGCACACAAAGGTCCAAGAACCCCAAGTTACCTTCGCCCCCTTTCATTCTCGTCCTCGCCCCCTTCCCTCCTAATCCTCCTTCTCGACTATCGTCTCTATTATTGTCCACCTGTACCATCCTTCTGTTGCCCCTCCTCCTCCACAAAACATAACGACAAATGGGCCTGGAATCGGCGCCACACCCGAGCAGGATGGAGACCACGCCCGGCCTGCCAACGAAAGCGGCCGTGTGGAGCGGCGTCCAGCCCGCCACATCCGTGGCCTCGGGGATGGAGGAAGGCAGAAAAGGAAGAGGGAAAGGGAGGGAAGGAGGAGAGGAAGGGAGGGAGGAAGGAAGGGGATGTGGATGGATATGGGGAAGGACGGAATGATGGTGCCACGGGTTTTCTAGTGCTGCAGGGGATGTGAAGTGGATGGGGTGGTCAAAGATTGGATGGGAGAGGGGGAAACGGAGACAATGGGAGACTGGCCAAAGGGCCCCCGAAACGGACGCAGGAGATCCTCAAGACTGGACCATAGGAGGCCCAGGGAGCCCCCAGATGGAACACATGAGCCCGGTGAGGGCTCCTCAATAAATGTGTCACATGTGACGACCTTACCTTTCCTGCTCCTGCCCCCCATCCTCGCATTAATCTGCTCCCCCTCCCTTTATCCGCATCACTGCTCTCGTTGTCCCTTGTACGTGCGACGTGCCGAAGTGTGCCACGGTCGTCCAATATCCAAGAAAAACTACACCTGAGTCCGATAATGCTGCCGCGCCATGCGTAGCCCCTAACGCACGGATGCAATGGACAGACGAAGCGGGACGGAGAGGGAGCCAACAGAAGAGGCGATTTCCAGGATGATGGGCTGGGGGGTGATGGTGATGAAGATCATGAGGATGGGGACGAAAAAGGAAGAAGAGGAGGAACAGGAGGAAGAAAGTGAGGAGGAGTAAACCGAATTGCGGGGATCCGAGACTGTACGAAGGAAGTCGCGTCGGCAATACTATGTAAACCAATGACCCAGATAAAAATGCACCCTCTTTCGCCCCCTCCATTTTTTATACGGTTCAATCGGGTCAAATTGTAAAAAAGGGGCGCGGAGGCCGAACTGGATAATCCACGGGGGAAGCTGCGAAGCGAAGTTGTTCTCATCCCATGTTTACTAACAACAGCATCAAAAAACGCGGAGCATGGCCATGGTGGTATCACCATATCAGTTTCCGCAATCACGAGCGTGCGGCACGTCTGTGGGATTCTCAGCAGTTCAGTTCGCCCAAGTCACGAACGCGCGGCAGGGCCATGGGATTCTCACTTTCTCAGCCGCTCCCGAATCAGGAACGTGTGGCAGGGCTATGAGGACCGATTGGATGCTGATTTTACATGCGTCTTTCGAACAGGCAGAGCATCGGAACTACTTGGTCAGCGCATCCCTCGCACGGTTCGTGGCCCTTCCCCCTCCTCCTCCTCCTCCCCCCTCCTCCTCCTCCTCCTCCTCCTCCTCTTCCTCCTCTACCCCCGCAACTGAGACCGCCCAGGCCCGAGCATCCCCGAGTCTCCGACATTCCAAGTTTTCGAGCCTCCTTGAGGCGCCGAGCCTTTTCGCCCCAGCGGCAGCGATAGGGGGGATAGGCGTAAGGCCCAACGATGCCCAATCGCCTGTGATCGCGGAGAGTGGTTCGATAGCCCGAACCTGCATAGGAACATGCGGACTCACGGTCGGGCGCGCATCGCCGATGCATCGCCGATTCCACGTCGACGTTTCCCACCCAATGCCTATCCCCCCCACATCGTTGCCCCTGAGTGCGTCGCGAGCCTCGCCCGTGTCCCAGGCCGCCGAGCGCGCCCAGGCGGCGACCCAGCCTGTCGCCTGAGGAGTCGCGAGCCCGAGCTCGAACGAGATCCTCGAGACGCTGTCCTTCATCGCGGACAAGATCGCCATTGCCGAGGCGCGCCAATGCCAATCTAGCGCGCGAGGCACTGACGCAGCAAGAATGACGGCCTGCTGTTTCAAGGCGGACAGCGCCTCGTGGTCAAGGAGCGCCCAGCAAGCTGCCCTCGAGATGGTCTACAACGGCGGTTCTCTCAAGAGCATCGATCACGGGCGCATCTTCAACGAGAAAGGCAAGACGCGCGTCGAGCTGGCGGTACAATACCTTCTGCGAGAATGATGCCTGCCACTGCGACATCTTCGAGAACCGCGGAGAGCCGCCAGAAAAAAAAAATCCCTCCCGGCTCATGCCGGGCTTCAAGCCGAAGATGCTCGAGCTCGCCAAGATGGGATGCATCGAGCTCGGCGCCGAGAACGCCCGGCGCCTCACCTTCGGCTCCTGCACCGAGCGCGTCGGCGAGGCCCTCTCCGACGCCCCCATCCGAGCTCCCCCGCCTCCACGACCTCGTGCTCCCGATTAACGAGAAATTCGAGCCCGTCGAGAAGTGGGGCGAGGAGTTCTCCTCCGGCGCGCCAGCCGATCAGCTCTTCGAGTTGACCCCCCACAAGGCCGACCAGTTAACCACTTGGCGCCGCCAGAACGGCGCGGTGTCGAGCGACGGCCACGCGCGAGCCACCACGCAAGCGGTCGTCAAGTGGCGCTGGAGCTTCAAGCGCACTGCGGACATGGCTTACGAGTTCCAGGAACGGAACTACCAGGACATGCGCTCCATGCATGACTACGCAAGCACCGACAGGCAGCATGACTTCGAGACAATGGTTCTCAACCAGCACATCGAAACGAAATCCCAAGCGTTCGCCAAGATCCACGCAGACTTCGACGAGCTGACCAACCAGCGCGAGCCCGAGAAGAGCCAGGCCGACGCGAAGGACGCGCTCGAGGCCGACAAATTCACGCCGAAGAGCGCCCAAGAGCCGAGCGGCGGCGAGCGGCGAGCGCCTGGCGCACGAGCGCCCCGAGCCAAGCGCCCCCATGCTTTTCGCCGCGAGGATGCCGCAAACGCGTCTCGAGGGGCGCGCTCGAGCACCATCTGCTTGTGAAGCTCCAAGCGAGCGTTCGAGCACGCGCGAGCAGCTATCCAAGCTGCGGGGTACCGCTCCCCCCCTCGCCGAGCGATCCTCGATCAAGCATCGAGCAATCAAGCGGGCTCGATCCTCCATCCTCGGATCGAGGGCCCGAGATCTTGAGTCCGAGCATCTTCGGGCACCTTGGATCCTCGATCCGAAGATCGCGCTTGGACTCGAAGATCTCGGGTTCGCGGTCCGAGGATCGAGCCCCGGCGACCGTCGATCGTCACCGTCGCCAGGCCCAGGCCGCCATCAAGGAGGCTCGATCCTCGGATCGAGGATCCGAGATCTTGATTCCGAGCAGCTCTGGACCCTAGATCCGAATATCGACGCGCTTGGGCTCGAAGATCTGGGTCTCGCGATCCGAGGGCCGAGGATCGAACCTCGGCGACCGTCGATCGCCCTCGTCGCCGCCCGCGGGCCCAAGCCGCCATCAAGCAGGCTCGATCCTCGGATCGAGGATCCGAGATCTTGGTCTTGAGCACCTTCGAGCGCCTTGGATCCTCGATCCGAAGCTCGCGCTTGGACTCGAAGATCCCGGGTTCGCGATGCGAGGATCGAGGATCGGGCCTCGGCGATCGTCGATCGCCCCCCTCGCCGTCCTCGGGCGTTCAGACCGCCGCCGAGGAGCCTCGATCCTCGATCCTCGGATCGAAGACCCGAGATCTTGGTTCCAAGCATCTCTGAGCGCCTTGGATCCTAGATCCTAGATCCGAAGATCGCAACGCTTGGGCTCGAAGATCTCGGGTTCGACATCCGAGGATCAAGGATCGAGCCTCGGCGCTCGTCGATCTCCCTCGTCGCCGCCCTCGGGCCCAGACTGCCATCGGGCAGGCTCGATCCTCCATCCACGGATCGAGGGTCCGAGATCGCGGCCTTGACCATCTGCGAGCACCTCGGACCCTAGATCCGAGGATCGCCAAGGTTGGGCTCCAGGGCCCTGGGCCCCCGATCCGAGGATCGAGGACCGAGCCTCGACGCCTGGCGGTCGCGCGCAAACGCGCGCGCACGCAGACGCGCTAACGCACGCGCGCGCGCACGCACTCGCACAATCACGCCCACGCGCGCGCACGCTCACACACACTCTCTCTCTCTCACGCACACGCACTCACATAAAAACGCGCACAACAACAACAACAACAACAACAACAACAACAATCATTTAAGACTGGGGACACTCCGTTCTCACCAGTGCCAGGGTTTTCATAGGAGGCGGGCAATACCCCCACTTTGTGGGGGGGCCGGTTCAAGCTCTACCAAATTTCCAAACGACTCTTCGCCACCACCCACACCCAGCTTCCCGCCCTATGACGTTCGGACACTTCACTTCGTGGCATGCGGACGACCGTGGCTACTATTCAGGGCCCCGCGGCCGACGACGACGGCGTGCGCGCGCGAAGAAAAAACGAATGTGTCCCGCATGGTATTATTTGACAGGGATGATGGCCCTGGCAGGTGCGCAACCGTTGTCGCAGAAGTTCGAAAAAGTTGCTCGCAAAAGCCCGTTTGACAGAAATGTTTAAAAAGTGTTGGGTTTCCTACGAATCCGCAAGAGCGCGCGGGATGAGATTTTGACATTTTTTTGTTGAAAAACCATTGGTTTTTTGATGTTTTTATGTTAAAATCGCTCCGAACACTAAGCTTTTGGAAGGATTTCGTCTTGCGCGCGCGAATGTCCACTTTACCTTATTTTTTGCAAGGGATTCTTGAAATTTGATTATATTAGAACAAGAAATGTCATTTTATAATGTTTTTTGCAAGGGAAAACGGATTACAACAAAACAACCGGATCTGGATCACATCGTTTTACCTGAGGCTTCCTCACGAAAATGATGAAAATGTAGCTGCGGCCTAGGCGCGGCGAGGGGGGCGTGCACCAGGGGGCCCAACAATAATTATTCTTTAGAAGTGATAATATTCAACAACAACAACAACAACAGCCACAACTGCAGCAGCAACCAGCAAAGCAATAGCAACAGCAGGCCGCAACAGACACGAGACAAACAACAAGAGCACAAACAACCGCTGCCCAAACAACACAGGCCAAGCCCACCGCATCGCCAATGCATCGCCGAGGCCCGCCGATGCATCGCCGAGGTGGCGCAGGCAATGTGGCGCAATGGGCACGCGCTCTGTAGTGCAAGCGCTGTTCGGGTCAAGCCCGCTGGGGACGCACCACTTTCCGTGGTCCGTTTAGGATCAAACATTCCAAACCCCATTTCTGCTCCAGCATCGAGGATGGCCGAGCCGGACGGCGACGAT